ATTCCTGGTAAGATTCGGAGTGACTGTCCCCTGACCACCCAGTGTCCTCCTCCATACTTGGTGCTAGGTATTAGCTCACAAATCTATCATGTGCCTCTAACTTGAGACTTCACAGATCAAAGTGCTGAGTTCTCCCGAATCTGAGCTGCCCTTCTTTTGGTTAAGGTCTAGATTTTTCAGGCTTTCTTTTTTCGGTGATTGGTGGGGGAGGCAGGGAGAGGTTTTTGCTATAGGGCGCATGCGCTAGGGGATGGCCATGCCGCAATCCCTTCTCCTCCGTTCTCCTCTCAGGATCTTGGGCATGCACGCACACACGTGCCTGGTGTGAGTTTAAGCCACTGGGTCTGGAACTCGAACTGTGGTCGACTACATGGGAGTCCAGAGACATAGCCATTGAGCCAACTGCTGGTCCCACCCCAGGCTGTTTTTTAAAAATCTCCTTTTCCTAGGAATGAGGGCTTCCATCTTTGTCTCTGACAGAAAATCCAGGTACATAAATTCTTTCTTTCTTCCCTTTTCTTTATAGCAGAAACTGACTTTACCTTTTGGCAGAAGGTTAACTTTGCTTTAGGACATAAGGTAAAGTCACCTGCCTTAGGCAGTCCAGGCACAGTGCTTTTGGTTTCATTTTTGAAAAAAGTTATATAACGTGCTTTAAAATCACAGCTATGTCTTGTCACTTAATTCAGATTTGCCTTGTTTCATTTGTGACCAAATCTTGCTAAACTGAGAAGCAGATGAGGGACTTCCTCACCCAGAAACTAAGACATTTTGCTCCCTCTAGCCCAGCTGGGTGCTCTAGGCAAGCAAACACTTAGTGAAGGGCCTTGGGATGTTTGTCTATGATGTGGCCTCATGAGGGCTCCTCGCTGAAACATTGTCTGTAGGGACTTTCAGCCCAGCTGGAAATGAACATACAAAGACTGGTATCTTAGTTCTTTGGGTTCTGTCATGAGATGATCAGAAGTTTTTGGGTTTTTTTCATTTTTTAAGAATTATTTTATTTAATTCTATTAATTAATTAATTAATTAAAATTTGACCAGAAAGGGAGAGAGCAGACTCTAACTGTGGTCAGCCATGTGGGAGTCCAGTACCCTTAACCACCATGCCACCTGCTGGTCTCAAGATGATAAGAAGTTTTTAGACACATAAGAAAACAATTTATGACTCAGAAGGCACACTTTGTGGAAGGCCGACTGCAAAACAGCACACCCTGACCTGACACACTATCCTGTCTTCGGGATCATTTTTGAAAAGGCTTCTAAATTACAGAAAATTGCTCATCCAAAACAGAGGTTGTCCTTAAAGGGCAACCACCCATGGGCGCTCCCACTGGATTTATGTATAATACTTTGAAAATACTTAGGAAAATGGGCCCACATAAATTGAATCGACCTCAACCTGCATTGACCCAAATGGGATCTTTTGAAACTCTCAAATTGGTATATTTGTGCATGTAACTGATAAAAGCTGGTTATGGAACCAAGCAAATTGGGTGGAAAAATTCATTTCAAAGGTATTTAGGTACCTCCAAAAAAGATTTAAATAAAATTGCCTCTCTTCAGGAGGTAAATAAAAAGTTACCAGAAACTATTTCAGAATTTAAAAAAATGTTAGAAGCTTCTATTTCTTCACAGCGTGCCCTCTCTGGCACCTCTCTGCCCTCTCTGTCTGATCTCCATGTCCTGAACTATCTTCTCTCTCACCTTCACCTCCAGTTCCAACAGAGGACACTCAACAGACTCCATGGCTATCTTCTGAACCCACTATTTTGACTGTCCTTTCAAAGTAAAGCCATAATGGGGAGAGGAGAGCCAGCCTTAGAATACAGCCCATGAGACCGAGCTAGACCCAACTGAGGACCCCTTAGGTTTTGCTAGAGAAGTTGATTTAAATCTATGAATGTGGGTATTCTGACTTCTTTCAATTCATCCACATAATGGTATCAGAAAGAAGAGCCATGGAATAGCTAAAAGAGCCAGTTGTAACAATCTCATAGAGAATGTTAATAGAAATACTGAAGAGGAACAAGAACAAGTCTGTAACATGGCAAAGCATCTTCCTCATGCTATAACACAAATATTACCAAAGAACATTGATCAGAATAAAATCCAATAATGTGAAAAAGGCCTGATGAACCAGTCCTTAACTATTTTGTATTATTTGAAAAAAAAAAAACATTCAAATAGTATGCTGGTGTGATGAGGCAAAATTTCAAAATCAGCAAAAGACACTCCCCTAAATTCTACCTTTCTCAATAGATTAGATTAAGGCCTTATCATTTTCGTTAAAAGATAAGTTAACTGGGCAACCATCCAAACTCATGACCTGGCCAATCAGCTTTGTAAAGCTTTCAAAAGAAAGAAAAATGAATAAATAAGGATCTAAGGTCATCCACTTACAATTCCAACAGCTGACTAGCTAAACAAACCCTTTCAAGAAAAGTCAGAGTTCCAAATGACCAAAGAGGAATTTGTTTTATTGCAAAAGGCAAGGACATTTTAAAAATGATTGCAAGAACTTTAAATGACAGCAAGAAAAGAAACCTGCTCGAGAGAAAAGGACTTTTCTAAGGAGCAAAAAAGAGCCTTTTTGTTTCTCCTTAAAAATACACTAGAAGTGGATGTTCTGATAAATGGAGAACAGACTCATGTCCTCACTGATACTGGGTCCTCTTTCTGCTCTGGACCCCACAATGTTACCCTGCCCCTTTCTTCAGAGCAGTAAAACTATTCAAATGATGGGAGAACTATGACTATTGATAAATCTTTGGCATGAATCTTTTTAAAAAATATTTTAACTTTATTTATTCATTTATTTTAATTTGACTAAAGAGAAAGAGTGAGAGAGAGAGAGAAAGAGAGAGAGAAAGTGAGAAAGCAAGCCACCAGGTCCAAGACTCAAACCATGGTCCGCCATGTGGGAGTCCAGCACCTTTAACCTCCTGGCCACCTGCTGGTTCCCAATAAATCTTAATTCTTAGAATTTCAAATAGAGACATTAGTGATCTTCAATCCTTCTTCTTTGTCCCTTTAGCTCCCATAAATCTTCTTGGTACACACTTTCTAGTGCTCCACAATATATACATCTCCTCTCAA